CACTATAAAAAGCCTACCTGGTGCAACCCAATTAGCCCAAACTCTCAATTAAGCCAGTTGTTGTTTCTGTTTCCTGAGGCTGGTATCTAAAACTCCCAGTGCACAGAGAAGACAGGCAGGCAGGAGGAGAGGTCTGTGTGGCTGTCTCAAGACATTCAAGAGCAGATCAGGAAGGAGGAACAGGGTCCCCAGCAGCTGAGACACATGGGAGAGGCAGTGCCGAAGAAATTGGCAGTGCCAAGTACTGATTAGCACATAATTAAAAAACAAACAGTAGGCATTAGTTTCTGAGTAAAATGTGATTATGCATTTAACTACTAAGAAAAACAGAAGAACCCAGAACTTAAGCCACCTGTCCCAAGAGTGTACCACAGCTGTTAGAAGAATGGACTCAAGCTTGAATGCTTAGGCTTGGACCCGAGTGGTTATTTGCTTAGCTGTTTCACATGGGGCAATTTCACTAACTTGGTTTCCTCACCTGTAAAATAGGGGTAATTATAACACTGACTTCAAAAGGGGGTTGTGAGGACTGAATCAGTTAATGGGTATAAAGTCTAGAATAGCAGCTGGCCCATAACAGAAAGTATGCTGTAACTATTAATACGGTAAAAGTGGAACCCAAACCTTCAAACTCCCAGTTACTACTACCTCGTTGTATCCCGTTAATTTCCAAGGCCCTTGACACCTCTGATCTATTTTGGAGTAGCCAAACACCACACCTGATTGGGATCTCTTGCCTTTCAGAGGGTTCTCTAAACTCAGGCCAAGCCATAGTAGAGAATTCAGAGCTGCTTTCTTGGGGGGCGGGGGTGGGGGGTGGCGGCCAGCTCTGAGCCTCCCTTTCCCTAGGCACTCAACAGGATGGGGGTGGCGGGGGAAGGGCAATGTGCAGGCTGACAGCCAATCTACTGCTAAGACCCTGGTTTCCCTCCCCACACTCAGTCCCCCCCCCCCCCAGCTTACTCAAGTCCACCATCTCTGCTTCCCATGCCTGTATATTCCCCAGGGAACCTCTGCTGTTAGCTTTCTAGGTAACATTCAGGACCTTGAATTGTGGTCATCTGGGCCTGAGTCTTCTGCATACCTCGCAGAGGAAACTTTGCACATCCTCTTCTTACAGAGTACCTGGCACAAATGCACAAAGACTTACCAAAGACCTAGATTCCCACCACTGTGAAGCTGCCTGAGGATCTCTTGAGCACAGAAAACATGAAATAGTTGATAAAGCAGAACTAATATCTTACCAAGATGGGATAAGTTAGATCCTTGGATTTTTTCAAACTTCTATTTGGTTTTATGAGCCTTGGGTTTGTCCTGGAGAGGATGTATCATATATATAAGCTCCTTATTAGTCGCTATGTGTCAGCAGAAGAGTCAGTGTGTGCATTAGAGAGCATGCAGGAATTTGACTGTAGTCTGACAAGGAGTTCAGCCTTGCCTGCAGTCTAAGTGGCAGCAATCTTGAATTTAGTTTTAGGTGCATTCAGGAGAGGGTCTTTTGGCAATGGAAATAAGGGGATAAAAGCAAACTGTTGATGTTTTAACTCCTGTTTTTTGTGACAAGTACTTAAAAGCTAAACACATCAACCAAATAATTTACAGGATTGTTAATCTGGTTTTAAAAAGCTTAGGAGGCTGGTTTGAATGCTGTCACTAACTCATGTGGGTCAAGTCCTGTCTTTTTTAGACTTATTTCCCTCCCTGTGAAACAGAAGACCAGATGAGGCTGCTTAAGACTACCACTGACTCTGGAACTTCTGCTCACTACATAATGCTCTAGGTGTTTGGTCTACGTTCAGAGAGAGAGAAGGAGACCTAGAAGCTTATTAAACAAAGTTGAATGAAACCAAGAATTGCATTAAGAAGTTTCTCCTTTCTTTTTGATACTGGATTTACAGGTCAAATAATTTAAGCCTACAGAAATGCCTTGCTTATTCACTGGAGCCCTGATACTGAAGAAGGGGGGGGGGAGAACGCCAACTGTTCCCTATTTGGGCCAATTGTGAAATAAATCCCACTTCTTCTCTATCTATACAGTCCTGGGCACTCTTCTTTCAAGCCTATCTGCTCCGCCAACTCGTAGCTAACTCTAGATTATCTTCCTGTTAATCCTGTGCAACACTCTGTAGAAAGCTCTTGTTAACCAGACAACTTGCCTTTTCCTCCTGTGACCCTGATTAGCTCCTAAGTCTTCTACAGGTCCTCAAACTTTCAAAATTAAATTCCTTTGGGGCAGACTGCCCTGCCCCTCCCCCCATCTCTCCCCCAGTGAAAAGCTACCATGGGGACTCAGTAAAATTATGTAGATTTAGTTCAATTGAGACTTTAAGGTAGATTAACACTTTTTTGGTCTATTTCAAAATTATTCTAAATTGCAGGACACTGGGCAAAAGGTGACTGCAAAGGAGTTTGTTTAATGACAGGGTTGAACCAGATTATCTTTAAGATTCCTTCCAGCTCTGACATTTCTGAGTGATAGCAGCACACCGTAAATCCAGCACCCCAGGGCTGATTAAGACTGCTAAATTCTGAAAGCTGAAGGCAGGAAAACTTCACCTACAGCAATGCGGGTCTTTTTGTCCTTCACTTTTAATATTAAAGAGAAAACAATGTCCATTTAACTGCTAGCTAAATTAACATTTGACGTGTAAATTTCAATGTCCGTTTCATCAGCCAGGTTGTGTACATTTCCTTTATTGCTCTGTCTCTGAGCTCAAGAGTATTACCTGACCCACAGAAGAGGCTCAAATATTTTCAAAACTGCTTACAACTGAGTGGGACAATCGAAGTGTGTGGCCTAAAGTAACATACTGTTTTGCTAGACCTGTTTTAAATCACAAAGGGAGGCGCACCACAGTTTCTCTCAACCTGGTGTTACCCAGACAATAGGATGTGTTCCATGGTCAAAAGAGTTTGGGAAACTTGAACAAGGACAGAACTAATCTCAAAGGGGATGATGAAAGAGGACTCAAAATGTGGACTTGCTGAGTTTCCTCCTTATCTGAGCACTTAGGGACATTCCCAGGCTGCACAGCAGCTCGAGGACACAGGCACCCTTATCTTATGGATAAAGGAATGCTCCCCACAGGTTTTAAACTTCTTATCCCAAGTCTCATGTAAGTCTGTTGAGACAAGCCATGACTTAAGCCATGACTTAAAGTGAGCCTAACTGTAAAGCTGATGGTATTAATCACTAGACTATCCGGCCACCTTTACTGTGCAGTTCTGTCAAATTCTACGTGTGAGAGAATCTAAACAGTATTTATAGGTAAGGAGAGGAAGCCAAGACTTCACACCCAGGTGAAGTTTCAAGATTGGCATCAATGAACTGAGAGTAGAAGGGTAGAGAATTCACTGGCAAAGTGAATTGAGTACTATGGAAAGCAACTGAGTACTATGGAAGCAATCCCATCCCAAAGCAATTGAGTACTATGGAAGTCCAGAATATTGGCTAAATCACCTTGGAGAAGACAGGGAGAATGTAAGTGAATAGCTTGTAGGATACAGGTAAGCTCAAGAATCTCCCGGAAAGTCTTCATTCAATCACTATGGGGAGAGGTGGGCTTTTCAGAATGGATGAGGCAGGGCTGGGCATAAAAAGTGAAACCTGTTTTTGAAAAAAGGACTCCAGGTGATACTGATAATACCTTCAACCCACCGTCAAAGCAACAGACTTGAAATGGGACAGAGCTCTCCTGGGATGGGGTGCAGGAGTTCAAAACTGGGCAAAACAAAATGCCCTATCCAACCCTACCCCCTCAATCCTACTCATTCTTAAAGATCAGTTCCAGTTTATTCTTGGGGAAGTGAGGGCATTATTACCCATCTTGAAAGGATCTAGACCTTAAATCAAGACAGATCTGGGTGTTATGTCACTTAAGCTCTGAAAAATTGCTAAGCAAACTCCACTTCCCTTACAAGCCGATTAACCTCGTCAACTTCTATCTGTTTAACCTCTAATCCTTCGTTTCTCCGTTTATAGAAAGAGGAGAGGATTTACTTTTAAAGTTATTACCTAAAGTCACTCTGTAAGACATCTAGGACATAGCTGGGTCTCAGATTAGTAACCTTTCTGCTGAGGAAGTCTTCTAAGACCTTTCTAGCCCACTGGCCTTCTCCTCTCTTTAGAGAACCTTTGGCTACTTACAAGTCTGAACAAAACATGTCAACACCTAGCACTCAAGATGAACTCGTGCCCTAAATGCAGCGAAAACTCAGAAATTAGGATTAGCCCTCCCATGACTGCAAAGCTACCTTGCTTCCCTGAGCCCCCATCTTCCCTATAAACATGCAAGCCAGGCAGCCTGGGGGGTAGAAAAAGATTAAGTATGTAAGGCAGAGGAAAAGAAGAAAAAGATGTTACATGTTATGTGACAGCTATAGGCTCACCTGGGGGATTATTATTCAGCAGGACCCAGAGGACTTAGCCAGGAAACCCGCCAGTTTGGTTGACTGCCTTGGGATGGAATGGGCCGTTGGGGGTGGGGGTGTGTGTCTCAGAGGAAAACAGAAGAGTAGGAAGCAAGAGTTTGGAGGTGGAGCTGAAGGGTGTCAGGACATTTGGGACCAGACACGGAGGGGGTGTGGGTGGGTTCAGTAAAGTTCTTTTTTGTTTGCTTTGGGAGGGAAAGAGAAGAGGCCCTAGAGAGAGGGCTCTGAAGTTCTTCCCACCAACTCAGCCCCGTCCTCTTCACTCCCCCTGTGGAATCTCAAAGTGCTGCAAGTTTAACAGTAACCGTCCACCTTTACTGAGCGCTTAACTAAAAGCACGGTGAGCACTTCCACGAGCTCTTTTTTTTTTTTTTTTTAAATGAGAATAGCACCTCCAGTCAGTGCCGGGGACTCATCCGGGGTCCTGAGGTGCAAGGGGAGCCTAAGCGCCTGGGCCCCGGGGAGGAGGGCGTGTCTGGGCCCAGGCTGACAAGACCCGGGCCGGGGCCCCGGCATCCAGAGCGGCGAGTCCAGGCCCCGTGAGGGCGGGCCGGCCGGCCGCCTCCTACCTTTGAGCGAGGTCTCCACCAGGCGCAGGTAAAGCTGCGAGCTCTTGTTGCCGTGGCTCATGCGCTGGGCGAGCCCGTTGCGCTGCAGGACGCACTCCTCAAACTGCACGACGTTCTGGTGGCGCCGCTTGAGGCTGGTCAGGGCCCAGAACTCGGCCAGCGCCAGCTCCACGTTCTCGGGGGCGTCGCAGCGGATCTTCTTGACCGCCACCCGGGCCCCGCTGCGCCCGGCCACTGCCTCGTAAACCACGCCGTAGCTGCCGCGCCCGATCTCCGCCAACAGGCTGTACCGCGGCCGCGCCGACCCGCCGCCGCTCTCCGGCCGCCGCCGCGCCAGGTAGGCCTCGCCCGGGGCCTCGGCCGCCGCCGGATCCATGGCCTGGGCCGCCGCCGGCCTCAGCTTCGCGCTGGGCGCCCGCGGCACTGGGCTTCGCCTTTTCCGCTCGGGGCTTTGTGTACCTCTGCGGGCGCCGTCCTCCTCCCCCGTTTCCATGGCTGCGGGCGGCGGGGGGAGCAGCAACGGCGCTGCCCGGGCCCCCCCTGCCTCATCCCTCCGTCCGGCCCCGGGACGTGGAGGAGCGGGACCTTGGATTGTGACCTGCGGGCGAGAGAGTCGGTTAACCAACTAGGCCGAAGCGGGGAGGCAAGGAGCGTAGGCCGCAGGGCGTCCCACCTCCGCCTCCTCCGGCCGCCGCGGCCCCTTTAAGACGGAAGCCGCCGCCGCTGACTGAACGGGGGGAAGGGCGACACCACTAGGCTGTGGCTCAGAGGGGGAACAGGAAAGAATAGTAAAACACCCCCCGCCTTCTCAGCCAGTTTGTCGTCTAGGACTAGGAAAAACTAGGACCAGTAGTTTTTACGACCTAAGAAAATTGCCTTAAGAAGCCGTCCTGACTGCGGAACTCTTTTTCCCCGCCTCGTCCCCTCCGGGATCACCCTCCCCGCATCCCGCCTTGGGTTCTCCCGGGTGTAAACAGTCCATTGAATTAAGCCGGAGCGGAGCCCGGCGGAACGACCCAAGTCCCCGAGGGCGGCGGGTGGAGGAGGTTGGCTCAGAAGTTCCGCGTCCCTGAACCCGCCAACCTGGGGACCCAGCGGCCCTCCCCCAGCGCCCGCGGGGACGGAGGTGGGTGCAGCCTCGGCGCTGGCTCGGACTCCGCAGACTGCGCCCTTACCTGGCCGGCGCCCCTCCACTTCCGGGCGGCCCGCTTCCCCCCTGGCGCCCCGGGCCGGGGATGGTCCGCTCCAGGCCAGGGCTGCCGCGCGTACGGAGCGGCGCGGGAGGCGGCGGCCCGGGCCGGGTGTGCTTGGGAGCCCGCGGCGGCGCGGGTGGCGGCGGCGGCGCTCGCGGGGGAGAAGCGGGTGTCCGGGCTCCCGCGGCTCTCCACGTGCTCGCGCCGGCTGAGCCCTTTACATAACCTGTTTATATAAGCTGCGCCTCCCGCCCGCACTCGGGCCAGCGGGGGCTCCTGGTGGCCCATCCCCCGGGAGGCCGGCCGCGCGCCGCGCCGCCGGGGTCCTGCCAAGGTCGACGGAGCAGCCGCAGCCGCAGCCGGGCGCACCGGGCACGCCGCGCCGGGGCCCAATCACAGGCGAGAACACCCAGCCCACGAAAAATAGGCGCCAAACTCCGGGATCCGCGGCGCCCCCCTCCGAGGCTCTGCGGCCGCCTGCCCCCTGCAGCGGCCTGCCCCCTGCCTCCCTCTCCGCCCTCGCTGCTTGAAGAGGGGCTGCGCGCAGTAGGCTCCTAATAAATACTCACTGGTTGATTGGCTTGGTCGGTTTGATTGATTCATAGGCAGTGCCTGGGAACCTCCCGGACTGGATTGGAGTCCACACGCAGCCTCCCAGGAGCCCGTTGATTCGGGGCAAATCATCGTCAGGTTCTGTGCCTCGGTTTTCTGTTCTGCAAAATGGGTGATTGGACCTTAACCTCCCAGCGCTGATAGAGCCAGATGAAATACATGTAGTTTATGTATGAATACATATATTAAGAGTCACTAAGTATATATGAGTACACATAGTAAGTGGCTAATTGGGTGCAAGGCTGAAAGTGCTGTTTTGTTCACTGCTTTGTACTCCAGTGGCCTAGTAGGTGCCTGTGATTTTTAAACTGAGTCTGTTGAGTATTTATTGGATTTCTATAATGTGCTAGGCACTGTTCTAAGTGGCTGGGGAAAGAGCAATGAACAAGACAATCTTTACCTTCAATGAGGGTCTATACCCCTGAAGGAGACAAGTGATATGGTGACCTTGTGCAAGTTAATTAACTTTCATGTGTCTTTACTTCCCATCTGTAAGATGGGAAGAACAGTGTTGGAGGCACTGTGCTTATGCAGTTAAAACACTGAGAACAGGACAAGGTCTTGCACACACTAAGTGTTAGATACTATTAACTAAACACATAGAATAATTTTTGACATGGATAAGTATGATGGAGAAAAAGAATGAGTGAAAAAGTGCTTTGGGTTTGGGACTGGTCACTTCTGATAGTATGAAGGTCATTCGTTGAAAGGTTGTAACTTTGGAGGGGGGGTAAAATTTAAATTTTACATGTAAGTTCTAAGGATAGTAAGGAATTCTCATGTACTTATATATATATATATATATATATATATAGAACCTTAATGAATTTGTGTGTCATCCTTGCACAGGGGCCGTGCTAATTTCTGTATAGTTTGAATTTTTAGTGTATGTGCTGCTGAAGTGAACACAAGAATTCTGATACACTTTTTTTTTTTCTGGGTTTTTTTTTCGGGTTTTTTCTCTCTAATATACTTTTAACCAAAATAACAAATTGTTATGTTTTGCTATGTTTGCATTATCATAGACTCTCTTGTGTATGTGTACGTAATATGTACATATACTTTTTCCCCCTAAGTCATTTTAGAGTGGGTTTTCAGACATTATGCCTCTTTATCCAATACACTTGTGTGTGTGTGTATATATATATATATATATATATTTCCTAAGAATGTGGACATTCTCTTGCAGAATCTCAGTTGTAATGATCAAAATCAGGAATTTTAACAATGATGTGATTCTTTTAATACACCTTTAATATTTAAATTTTGCTAATTGTGCCAATAATGTAGCCATTCCTCAGGATCCAATTCAGGTTTCATTTGGCTGTCCTCTCTTTTTAGTTTCCTTTAATCTGGAGAAGCAGTTAGTTACTCAACCTTTGCCTTTCATGACCTTGACATTTTTGAAGAATACTGGTAAATTATTTTGTAGATGTCCTTAATTTGTAGCTGTCTGTTATTTCTTTGTGATTAGGTTCAGGTTATACATTTTTGGCAGGAATGCCACTGAAAGAAAGTTGTGTCCTGAGTGTATCACATCAGAAGGCACATGACATTGGTTTGTCTCAATATTAGTGGTATTAACTTTGATCATTTGGTTAAGATGATGTCCCCCAAGGTACTCAGCTGAAAAGTTACTATTTCCCTTTTGTAATTAATAAGTATCTTGTGGGAAGATATTTTGAGGCTATCCTATTTTCTTAAAGATTTTATTTATTTATTCATGAGAGAGAGGCAGAGACATAGATAGAGGGAGAACCAGGTTCCTTGCAGGGAGCCTTGTGTGGGACTCCATCCTGGACCCAGGATCATGCCCTGAGCTGAAGGTAGCCGCTCAACTACTGCTCCACCCAGGTGACCTGAGACTATCCTATTTTTCATCTTACTCTCTGCCCACTTGTTTTAGCATTCATTGATGATTCTTACCTGAATCAGTTATTATTATAATGGTTGCAAGATGGTGATTGGTTTGCAAGAGCCACCATAACAAAATATTAGACTGGGTGGCTTAACAGAAATTCATTTCCTTGGGATACCCGATGGCTCAGCAGTTAAGCTCTGCTTTCATGATCAGGGCGTGCTCCTAGAGTTCAGGGATGGAGTCCCACATCGGGTTCCCTGAGGGGAGCCTGCTTCTCCCTCTGCCTATGTCTCTGCCTCTCTCTCTCTCTGTCTCTCATGAATAAATAAATAAAATATTTTTAAAAATCTCATTTCCTCACAGTTCTGGAGGCTAGAAGTCCAAGATCAAAGTGTTTAATTTTTCTTCTGAGACCTCTCCTCTTGGCCTGATTTTAGTTGCCTTCTTTTTCCCCACAAGAAGGTTCCTCTGTGTGCGCATCTTTTCCTTTTCTTGTAAGGACACAAGTCATATTGGATTAGGGCTCCACCCTAATGAGCTCATGTTAATCATCTCTTTAAAGACCTATTTCCAAATATGTTACATTTTAAGGTAATGAGGCTTATGAATTAAACATGAATTTAGGTGCGAGGGAACCTGAAGCCAACCATGCTAAAACTAGTAGTAAGTCATTTAAGAAAGAAGAAGTATATAGAAGCTGTGAGACAGCAATAAGCTTGATGTTAAACTTTAGCCAGTTGATGAGTGTGTTAAGTGGTACAACCACTTTGGAAAAAAAAAAAAGTTTGGCAGTTTCTTATGAAATTAAATATACATCTACCCTATGGCCCAGCACCTCCATGCCTAGGTATTTACCCAAGATACATGAAAATTTATCTTTACAAATATATATATTTTTAAAGGTTTTATTTATTTATCCATGAGAGACACAGAGAGAGAGGCAGAGACGTAGGCAGAGGGAGAAGTATGTGGGGAGCTGAATGTGGGACTCCACCCCAGGACCCTGGGACCACACCCTGAGCCAAAGGTAGACAGACGCTCAACCACTGAGCCACCCAGGTGTCCCTTCACAAATACACTTTTATAAGAATGCTTCTAGTGGCTTTTCCCGTAAGAGTCCCAAACCAGGAAACACTCTAATGTTCCTCAATAAGTGAATGGATGTCTGAGCTGTGGTCTTCCTATACCTTGAGGTGCTGCTGGGGGTGGGGGTGGGGGGCAGGGACAGGGAGGAACATAACAAGGATGAATTAAAATAATGATGCCAAATGAAAGAAGCCAGGCACAAAGAGTACATACTACACGATTCTGTATACAGTTCTTGAAAATGCAAACTAATTTACAGTGACAAAGGTCAGAGTAGTGGGTGAGGTGGGGAGGGAGGTACAACAGAGGAAAAATTTTGGGCTGATAGCTATGTTTATTATCTTGTGATAGCTTATGTTAAAGTCACTTCAAATTGTACACTTTAAATAGGTGCAGTTTATGTATATCAGTTTTGCAACTTTACCTCATTAGAGCTGTAAAAAGATGGATTAAAAAGAGTACATGCTACATGGCTCCATTAATATAACGTCAAGCAACATTGATCTGTGGTGGCAGAAAACATATCAGTGGTTAGCTCTGGGGTGGGAATTGACTGCTGTGGGGCACAAGAGAATTTTCTGGGTGATGGAATTTTATTGTATGGAGATTATACCGCAATAAAATTGATTTAAAAGGTGAAAAAACAAACCCAGGTCCTGCCATGCTGTGAACACATGTATCTTTATTCAGAGCTGGTCCTGCTTTTTAAAAAATTTTTTTAAGATTTTATTTATTTATTCGCAAGAGACACACAGAAGTGGAGACCTAGGTGGAGGGAGAAGCAGACTCCCTGCAGGGAGCCCCAAGTGGGACTCTATTCCAGGACCCCGGGATCATGACCTGAGCCAAAGGCAGATGCTCAACTGCTAAGCCACTCAGGCACCCCTTTACTCAGAGCTTCTAAGGACAGGGGCTTGCTTCATGGTGCCAAGGCAGAGCTGTCCCCATTTCTGCCATTCTGGGCCCCAGAGGTTGAGCAAGACCAATGGAGTCTTTTCTCCCAGCGAGTTCTCCCACCTGAGTCTTAAAAGAGAGATTGTATCTGAAGTTCTGGGAGAACCACAAGGAGACTTCAATCTTTTTGTGTGTGTGAGAAGGGCCAGGCTGCTTGAGACATTGTTGATGGCTTGACTAATTTTTCCCCATTTACTACAGCTTTTATTAAATGACAGAAGGAACCTTATACTTCTTATTATAACCAATAGCCAGTGGCCATGAAAGTTGTCAGCAAAGTATTCTCATGCCAATCCTGTGAGGTGGTTACTATCATTGGCCCCATTTTAGAGACGAAGAGACTGAAGAGGGAGGAGGTTGCCCAGCTAGGATTGGAACTGAGACCTCAGACTCTTCACTTTACATTTCTAGCTCAGCTCTGCCCAGGGTAAGCAATTATATGAAAATTATGGCAAGCCTTTTTCCATGCTGTTCTCTGTTGGCACACTTGCCTAACTTCATGTCCCTGGAACGTCAGATGGTGCCAGACGTGACTGGAGCCCAATATTTAGTAATGGAAGAAATGTAGGAAGAAAGAGGGGGCAGCAGTGAGGTGTAGGCCCTTCCACTAGGGCCCTTGCCTTGGAGGGACTGACATAGAACATGAGATGCAGTGGAATTATGTGGTTCCAAATAACATTAGTCCTACCCAGGACACTAAAGCCATTTGTGAAGAGGTAGCAAGGCACAGAGCAGGTGCTGTTTTAGAAGAGTGGTTTGGGAAAACCTTTCTAAGGAGGTGACCATTTGCAGAGAGACCTAATAGAAGTAAAAGAATCAGCCAAATGCCCATCTACTGGAAGAGCATTTGTGTTAGAGGGAAGAGCAGGTACAAAAGAGGCCAGTGTGGCCGGAGTGCCGCGAATGGGGGAGGAGAAGCAGGAAACAGGAGAGAGATGTGGTGAGGCAGAGACTTGTGGGCCATGATGAGGACTTGGGATTTACTCAGCATTTGTGATCTAGCGAGCACCACAGAAAGCAAAGGAGGAGGAGAGCT